CTGAAACTGAGGGTTCTAGAGGGGAGGGGGGTGGGAGAATGGGTTAGCCTGGTGATGGGTATTAAAGAGGGCACAGTCTGCGTGGACTGGGTGTTATACGCAAACAATGAATCATGGAACACTGCATCAAAAACTAATGATGTAATGTATGGTGATTATCATAACAAAAAATAAAAAGGGTCTGGGTGAGCTGAAGATTTGGGAGTTACTAATATTTGAGATATTTGAAGTAGATAAAATAGAGTAAAGGAAAGAGAAAAAAGGTATAGGGGATAGGATTCAAGAAACAATTCCCTACCTTATTTGGAAGAAGTTACCATAGTAACTCTTAGTAAATGTGCTTACTTTTTTCTATATAAATTATCTTACAGCTTCAACAAAAGAAAGTAGTATAATCACATGCAAACCCATGTCTGTCTTTGTGATTAAAATACTTCTTCCAGGTCAGAAAAACCTCCTGACTCCATGTTATGATGGACCTAAGCAGTCTGGGACCTTTGGACCTATAAACCCTATTCTGAATTCAACTTACTGCTTCCTGTCTCAGTTTTTCAAAGAAGTTAGTACGGTGTTTCCAGATCACTTCATTCACTTGGGAGGAGATGAAGTGGAATTTACATGTTGGTATGACAGTTCTTTAAAATCCTTGTTTTTTAACCACTGCATTTGAAGGAGGTATTAGAGGTCTCCACGTGAAAAGGGAAGACTGGGGGAAAGATGTCTGTTTGCAAGGTTTTAAGTTAGCAACAGAACTTGAGAGTACAAGCTTTTAGGAAGGAGAATGAAGATGTGGAAGATAGTGAAGATTGAAAAAAGACTACAGTGAACAAGAGTAGCTTTAGGGAAAGGGCAGTGATTAAGTGGGGGAGATTTTTTCAAATAAAAATCCTCTTTGCCAGTAGCCTTAGAGGAGAGAAGCATGAGAGAGGGAAAACCATTGTCAGAAGAAACCAGCTTCTGGAAAAAATTATTTGCAGTGGAAAACTAGAACTCATAATAAAGTTTTTTAGGCTCATTTTCTCCCTACAAACTTTAATAGTTTTAAATCCGCACAAATGAAGTTAGGGATATATGCTGCTTTAAAGACAATGAGTTTATCAAACTAATCACTGTTTTTGTTGAAGGGAGTCCAACCCAGAAGTCACAGATTTCATGAAGCGGAAAGGCTTTGGCAAAGATTTTAAAAGACTAGAATCTTTGTATATTCAAAAGTAAGTTACCTGTAAGCCTACTTTTATTTTTATTTCATCTGTGCCTTTTCTAAAAGGTTTAGCTATTTAGTATTGTTTTTCATTTTCTCTCCACCCCTTGTCAAAGTGTAGATATTACATACTTTGTTGTACAAAGTGTCAGTGAAAAAATCATCAAAAGGAAGCAATATCCACTTTTTTTAAAGCAATGAAATGATGACTAAGACTTGCAGTAAGTGTTGAAGGGTAGCACTCCCTGCTCAAAGGATTCAGTTCAAAGCCCTGGCTTTTCTGTTAAGTTTTCATCATTGTCCAGCTTGTGAAAGTCATTCCCTTTGGTCAACTCCAGGACATTTCTTTCACTTGATATCTGTGACGTCCAGTATGATAGCCGCAGCTGCATGTGGCTGTATTTAAATTAAAAGGAAGAAAACTGTCAATTCAGTTTCTTTGTCACATCAGCCACATTCAAGTGTTCAATAGCTGGATGAGGCTAGTGGCTGCCACTGGAAAGCGCACAGATAGAATGTTTCCATCATTGCAGACTTGGACTGAATGGCACTGTCCTATACTAGTGATAAGTAAACGTTTTCTTTAAAGGGCCAGAGAGTAAATATTTTAGGCTTCACAGGCCCATGGTTGCATAGTATTCTTGTTTTTTTAAATAATATTTACAAGTGTGAAAACCATTCTTAGCTAATGAGCCATACAAAAACAGGCTGTAGGCTATAGTTTGCCAAATCTTGAATTAAGGAAGGTCAGATTCTAGCCTTTTCTTGTTTTGCTTTTTGTGTGGTACATTCTAATTTTCAAATCCTGTAGAATACCTGGTGTTGTCTAAATACCAGGAAATATTTGTGGACTGATTGTCAGCAGTTGTTGAATGCTGTGTAATTGACACCACAGGCTAAATTACAGTTTATTCTAAGATACCCATGCAATTACCAGAGATTGTGGTTTGTGTACTACTGTGTGAGTTGCCATGTCTTCCCCACTTTAGGACATGCTTAGCATGTTCATTCAGCAAGTAACTTTTAAACCCCTCTGCTGTGTGACATTCTGAGCCATGTACTGGAAAGAAGGAACCACACTGGGTCATGACCCAGCCGTCGCAGGTTCTGCTATAAAGCTGTGCTGTAGTGAAAGGCAGCTCCCAACACTGCAATCCTTTATAGAAAAGGTTCATGCGTTAAACACATTGTTAAGCTTGTGCTCTGAAATAAACTTTTTTTCCCCCAACGGTAGGCTTTTGGGTATTGTTTCAACTATCAACAAGGGAGCCATAGTCTGGCAAGAGGTTTTTGATGATCACGTGAAGGTAAGAAGTATTAAGACTGCATGATTCTGATATGAGAGACTTACCCTTTTAACATCTTAGAAGGAAGGAACCCTAATAAAGTTGTTGCCAACACAATGGGGAATTAGCTTACCTTTGAATTTAAACTTTGATTAGGCAGTAGCTGTAGACGGAGACTAGTACCACCTCTCCATCTCTCCCTTCCACCTTCCTCCCACCACCACTATTTGTCACATATCCGAGTACTTTGAAGTTCTTTTTTCATAAGGTTAGAACAAACAAGAATGAGTCTTTATTGCTACAAAGGTAGTCTGTCAATGTATATGCTTTTTATTTTCCCTCAGGTAACTGACAATTTCAAATCCAGCTACTAGTAGTATCTTTCCAGAAGGGTTAGTGACATCCTCAAAGTTCCAAAGCACGAACAACAGTAGTGTGGTACAAATGGGAATAAAGCCTTAGTTCATTATACCAATATGGTGTTGTATATAGGCAGAAGTTAAATATCCAACCTTAAGGTTGATGAAACTTCTAATTTTAAGGCCCTACAACCAGTAACGTTTAGTACTAACTCTGAAGGGGAAAATGTATGTTTTTTCAAGAATCGTAGGCAGTCATGTCCCTAGCTACAATGACTTTAACTTTTAATTTCATTTTTAATTGTTGGACCTCATCATACATAGCTTCAGCCAGGCACGGTTGTTCAAGTATGGAAAAGTGAAAAGTATGGTGAAGAACAAACTCAAGTCACAGCAGCGGGCTTCCCTGTGATCCTCTCTGCTCCTTGGTACTTAGATTGGATTAGTTACGGACAAGATTGGAGAAAGTACTATACAGTGGACCCTCTTGATTTTGATGGTAAGTGAAGCACCCATCATTACCTTGATTTGTTAGTATATAGTCAGTAATATCTCGGTGGGAGATAGTTTTGTTCCCTATTTGTTTACTTAAAAAACAAAAAAAGGCCCCAGTACATTTTAAACTTCGTGAAAGAAACCAGAACTTCAAAAGTGGATTTCGTGAGGTTTTATCTGTTTCCATTGATGAGCACTGGTATACACCCTACATTCTAAAGCCCCTTGACTGCATTAACCTTGTATCATATCTTCTTTTGATGGGCCTTTCCATTGTAAGACACAAGGAAGTCTACAGTCCAGTTGCATGGATTTCAGGCTGTTGGGGGAGAATGGTGGAGCTTTAGGCTCAGACCCTCTTCCTTAAGAACAGTTCTACTTTATCCAACTTTATACATCAGATTTCACAAAATTTCCTTCAAGAAAAAGGATGTTAGTGTTAAAAAGTATTTCAAAACTGTAGGCCTATTAGGAATTGACATAACTGTCTCGACAAATTATTTTCTGAGATTCAGAAAGTTCTGATTACTGTTAACGTGACAGTCACTAGGGAAAAATGGTTCTGGAACCCAAATAAAAGTCAAAATAGGCTAACAAGCACCATGGGAATAAAGTTTGCTACCCTTTTTTGGTGCCCAGTTTCTGCTGACTACACAACAGAAATGTTGCCCTACAATAATTGCCTTTGTGTAAAAGCTTTGAGCAACTACTTGATTTACATCAATTCAATGATTTTAATGTAGGTTCCCAAGAACAGAAAAAACTTGTTATTGGTGGAGAAGCTTGTCTATGGGGAGAATACGTGGATGCAACTAACCTCACTCCAAGATTATGGTATGGAATTTAAGTAGTAACATTTGAATTAAAAATTAAAGTCCCTTATTTTTCCTTCTCCCTCCAAGTAGGGAAACACTAGAAATTTTCCCAAGCATAGATATTTAAGTAAACGTGAATTTAAATTGCTTTGGTGAACATGTGGTTTGACTTTCAGGCCTCGGGCAAGCGCCATTGGTGAGAGACTCTGGAGTCACAAAGGCATCAGAGATATAGAGGATGCCTACAACAGACTAACAGTTCACCGCTGCAGAATGGTCAGGTAAGACATTTTTAAAGGTAGGACACAAAGGCAGGGGTGATTTTTTTTTTCTATAAATAGAAATGTATAGCCCCTAATTAAATCACTAATTTTTGTAAGGTAATTATACCTTTATGGAGAAGAGATACTTGAACTTTTAAATCCATCTTGAACCACTGTAACAAGTCTTTTTTTCATTAATTAATGCTCTGGTTGGTGATTCTGACTCTATCTGTTCTATAGACGGGGAATAGCTGCAGAACCTCTCTTTACTGGATATTGTAACTACTGAGTACAAAACAAAAAAATGAGCCTAAACAAAGAAGAAAATAGAAGGGGACAAAGCCCACAGCAATCTGTATACAATCAAGTTGATCTTGAAATCATGGACAGTAAGATTTCATATCCTGTTTTTAAATAAAATACATCTTTTTAAAGATTGAACCTTTATTATACATACATCTTGCTTGTGAAAGCAGCTCAAAAAAACCCCTTGTGATAACACTAAGTATATTCCATAGTAATAACTTTCTCTCTCATTATCCAGAACAGAATGGGCAGCCCCAGTGCCACTGTCAGTTTATTGAGTATTCTTACTGAAAATGCAGTCGGGAGGTGCTTGTGCGGTTGTCTCCAAAGACCTAAAGCACCTGGGGCAAGCCACTTCGCCGGCTGAGCAGTGTAGTTTGGTCTTGAGGATTCATGGCTTGATAATTTGAGAGTTCTAAGGCAAACGTAGCTGAGCCAGAGGTAAGCGTTCGAAGTGCAGTTGAATAACCCTAATCAAAATAATGTACGTTAGTTACCAAATTTAAGCCTCACATATCTCTTCCTGCTGCTCTTTTCACATTTTCAGGCAAGGGGATGATGTGACTTATGTAACCATTTTGTCAGGAACTATGTGATACCAAGATACTGTGGAGGGCAGGTAACTGAATAGTGTGGGTATGCTTCAGATGTACTCACTGGACTCAGCGTTTCAGAAAGTGCTTGGAAGGGAAAAAAATGGCTATTGAGGCTGGTGCCAGTTTGGTACGGCACATCTCAACCTTTGTGGAGAATGGAAATGATCCAACGACCTGAGTTCAAACTTATCAGGCATCTTCTTAATGAAAGCCCTGATTGTCTACTTTTTTCAGCATCAATACCCCAGTATTAAAAAATAGGTACTTTTCAGTTAATTACCTACCATAATCTCTGCTAAGGGAACAAATCCAATAACGATTTTGTTTTCCTGACGAGTCTGGATTTCCTGAATGGTTCCTCTTCTTTGTGCCAGATCTGCCAGGACAGGGCTGAGGTAATCTCTCGTCACTGTCACCTCAAGATTCATCAGGGGCTCTAAAACTTGCTTATCAGCTTTCTTCAGAGCCTAAAGAAGTTAAAGAGTGTTAACCCCCCTTCCTTAAATTGGAAGTCAAATTTCCATTAAAGATTCATAAAAACTTAAATTTCTCTTGTCCTTGTAAGCCTGGAGCTCTAGCAAAAAGACCTACAAGCCTGCTTTAACTGTCTATAAAGATAGATAATGGTACATGGCAAGTGGGAGCTTAGTACAGCTTGGTTATGCAGAGCGCCTAGGAACACATGGCCAGAGCTACAAATAAATAAAATGGTTTTCCCCCTCCAGTCACAGAATGGTTCTTGTTGAAACCACGTGTTTTTTCCTGATGCCTAGTATAGATACAGTTTGTGTCAGGGCAAATCAAGAAATGTACTACAATAAAGTAGCAGAAACACATTCTCAACAAAAGGCAAGAACAGGCAGCACATAAACAGCAGGCAAACAAAAAAGCCAGTGCGGCGCATAGGGCAAGTTGAGTACCAGACGGAACAAACAAAGAGTCCCCATCAGACAGTCTTTCAGACTATCACTACATCAGACTAATGGGTTTTGGAGGGCATATGCAAGCACTAAGTACCCGTGGGTTTGATTTTAAAAGCGATCCTACTGTTGGAGCCTGCCAGAGTTCAAAACTAACAAAACCATTTCCTATAAATTCTAAGCTTCTGGTTATGAGGTTGGACTTAATAAACAGAGACCTAGCAATGGAAACTACCTAAGGAAGAGAGCCAGGGCTCTGGAATGGGCCCTCACCTTTACTGTTAACCGTTCATTATTCTGCTCCCACTCCACCACCACTCACTCCTATTACTAAGGCCTTACAGGGCGCATTTTCACCGTATTAACTAAAGGTTCTGGGCCTTAAATCCTATTCTCCCTGATCAGTCACCATCTCCCCCACCTGCACAATCATGAAAAATGGCCACATTACTAAAACCAGGAGTATATTCTCATTATTATCGAAATTTCAAAACATAGCATACATACATAGTAAAACAATCAGTTCTTCATAGCTTTAAAATCTAAACAACTGTGGGGCGCCTGGGTGGCTCAATGGGTTAAGCGTCTGCCTTCAGCTCAGGTCATGATCCCAGGGTCCTGGGACTGGGCCCAGCATCGGGCTCCTCGCTCGGCGGGGAGTCTGCTTCTCCCCCTGCTTGTGCTCGCTCGCTCGCTCTCTCAAATAAATAAATAAAAGCTTAAAAAAAAAATCTAACCAACTGAAATGACTCACCTAGAGAAAATGTATCTTAACAGTCCTTCTTGAATGAAAATATTACTAAAAAATAATGACCGCCAACAGCAAACAACTATATATCTTCTCTTTTTGCAGTTCCTACCCAGAGCTTCACATAATGTCTGTTGGGACAAAATAATGGAATGGGAAATGGTAAAAAGGAAAAGGAAAAATGCTATAACCAAGGAAAGGATCGAATGCTACATATGTAACTAAGATACACAGCCTCTGTCCTCAGTCCTCTTTTCACATTCTTTCTCTTGGATGTTTCAAAAACATCAATGTAGATTCCTCAAAACCTTCATACTTCACACAGACTACAGTCTGAGTGCTCGAGCCCTGTACCCTACTGGCCTGCTTTAGGACAGTGTCCAAATACCCCACAGCAACAGATGACCTCATCATTTCCTTTTGTAAACATTCTTCTGTGCTCTTTCCTATTTGTTGATGGCTTCATAATCTTCAATTCACCTGGTCATGCATCTTTGACTTTCTTTTCCCGAAGTAGCTATAAGATTTCCATTCCTATTGCCAATATCCTAGTTCAGACCCAGTCCATTCTCTGTCCGAGACTATCTCCTCCCTACCTCTAGTTCCTCCTGTATTCGATTATACTGCCCGCTTCAAAAACCTGAAAATTTTCACCACTGTTCTCAAACCTCAAACTCCTCAGTGTAGTTTTGAAAGGTTTCTCTATGGTCTGACTCCATTCTACTTTTCCAACAATTTTTCCCTACTACTGTGCCTTCATCTGATACTACAGCTGAAGGGACTCTTCAATCTCTCCCTTTCTGGAATGCCCCCAAAATTCACAGCTCAGATATTCCTTCCAAGAATCCTGATTCCCCATCTGCAACGATGTGGATGAAACTAGAGGGTATTATGCTAAGCAAAATAAGTCAGAGAAGGTCAAATACCATATGATGTCACTCATGTGGAATTTAAGAAATAAAACAGATGAACATAGGGGAAGGGAAGGAAAAATAAGAGGGAGACAAACCATAAGAGACTCTTAACTGTAGGAAACAAACAGGGTTACTGGAGGGGAGGTGGGTGGGGGGATGGGGTTATTGGGTAATGGGCATGAAGGAGGGCACATGATGTAATGAACACTGGGTGTTATAAGCAACTGATGAATCACTCAATTCAACCGCTGAAACTAATAATACACTATATGTTAACTAAATTGAATTTAAATAAATTTTTTTTAAATTCTAATTCCTCAACTTCATTTTTACGACTCCCAGTCTGCTCTAATGGCTATTTGGATATAAAATTAATCATCTTATAAATTTTTTTTTTTAGATTTTACTTTTTTGACAGCGAGAGAACACAAGCAGGGGGAGTGGAAGGGAGAGGGAGAAGTAGGCTCCCCACTGAGCAGGGAGCCCGATGTGGGGCTCGATCCCAGGACCCTGGGATCATGACCTGAGCCGAAGGCAGACGCTTAACTGACTGAGCCACCCAGGCGCCCCTCATCTTACAAACCTTAAGGTCCTCTGGGTCAAGACAAACATACATATCCCATTTGTGTCCATCTTAGTGCACAGTGTACTGTAAGCTCAACAAAGATGGCTCAATAAATACAGGAAGCATCATTAACTTCTAATAAGCAGAAGCTTCCCTACTAGATGAAGCTTAACAAGGCCTGCAGTATTTCTATTAGGAGTACTTCATGTATAAAAACTAAAGATTAAATTAAGCCCCCATGAAGTTAATTAATGAACTTAATAAAAAGACTATCCAATTCAGAAACACAGATTTTTAGAAGGCATATTAAGATTTTGAAGGACTGACCAATATAATGGGGCTTGGGGTTAATTTAGAAACATGACATCTTTCAGGTTACTGTTACCTAAAACCAATTTTTAAAAATTACTGGAAATATTCTCAACATTTTAATCATGACTGATTTACAGGTAATATTTCTAACTATGTGCTTAAGCAAACAATATTTAAATAATGCTTTTTGAATGTACAGTTTTTTTTTTTTTAAATAAAAAAATTTTAAGTAGCGTGAACTTGAGGGGCGCCTGGGTGGCTCAACTGAACAAGCGTCAGACTCTGGATCTCAGATCTGGATCTCAGGGTCATGAGTTCAAGTCCCGCAGGGGGCTCCACACTGGGCGTAGAGCCTACTTAAAAAAAAAAGTATGAACTTGAACTGACATAAATGAGACATCAAGTTCTACCTTCATAAGTCAGGGACTTAGGGTATTTACATTAGCTTCATAATTTTGGATTCAAATGAGCTATAGAAAATCAAGTCTCAAACACAATCAAAAATTTTAGAAAATTGTTTTAAAAAGCAAGTGTTTTAATGCAAATCAGTCACCTACAAAACTATAGTATTCCCACACTGAGAGGAATGCAGAGTCAGCATTTAGCACTAAGATCCCGTGAGTTATTTCAGCTCTGGTAGCTTACTGAGGCAAGACACTCAAGGACATACAGGGAGGTAACCATGCCAAGAAGAGTAGATTGCTTGATACTTTTGTAAGGTTAGGTGCTTATCCTGAACCTTTTCTTCAGTGACACTTGTCTGATTTCAATGATCTTTGATTAAGGTAATCTTATTCAGATAAACAGGAACTCCAAAATTGGAACTAATACTGCATCTTCAATGTTCTTTAAATTATAGTCCATCTTGGGCCCGGCTGACCCCCAAAATGTCCCCTACTCAAACCACCAAGCTTACCTCTAACAGGTTTGTGTCTGGGAGGGGGAAACCAGAAATGCCAGGGAAGGAAATCTACCTCTTTGCCAAAACCAGAGACTATTTCCTGGCCATTGTGCTAAACAGTAATTTTCTAGGTCCTCTTTCAAATGTAACCGTGGTGATTAAGAAGTCAAAGATTCCCCGAGGTAAAAACCCTTACTGACTCTAAGGCCGAGAAGGCGACAGTACAAGTGTGAGGCTCTGCCTGAGTAGCAACGGTGCACTACTGTCAGCACAGTCACCTTAAAGCAAGAAGGATCGCAGGATAGTTCTATACCTTTTGTACGCATCTCGAGACACAAGCGGAAATCATCGTTGTGGAGGTACCAGGATGAATGATCAGTGAATGTAAAGTAATGGCCACATCTTGAACTGGGGATCCGAGCAATGGTCCTATGCAAGGGGGAAAAACGACTGTGTTAGCACGCATATGCAATGAGGAGTGAAGACAGGGAGAGGACTTCTGGTTTCTAGTTCATGTAAGGAGCTTAGAAGTTGTCAATCGGACCCAGCAAGTAAGAAGCGAAACAGACTGAAAAATCAGCAACTCCTCTCGGATCCATAAGAGAATAGAAGACAAAGGACAAACTCACTGCCCTAAACACTCGAGACACAGGTGAACACCAGAAGTCACGGCTTCCTGGAACAGAGGCTCACTAGCCCAGGGACCACCGCCAGGGTGGGAAAACCTCAACTATAACTGATGAACTGCTGGAGGCTCAAGGTGGACAAGTCCGGGAGGTAAGAACTCCAAGGGGACCCAGTCATACATAACTCATAAGGGGTACCGCCCCACAAATTTTTTGAGATTTACCTCCAGGAGCTCAAGCAGGTTCTTACCATAAGTATCAGAGAAAAATCTCCTTATGCTTCTGACAGAAGGGTAAAGAAACCATTCTGAAATACTCCAGAGCACACTATTCTTACAAAGGTCTGCTGTCAGGGGAAACTAGTTAACTAGAGCCTAACCAGCAGGTCCAGCATTAGCAGGACCTAACCAACTTGACTGAAGTAACCAAACTCCAGTCCACCCTAGCCATCCTGTCCAACCTGAGGCCAGCAGAAAGAAAAAGAAAAAAGAAACGTGAGCAGTTCCTAGTCTAGAGGCATGGACTCACTATAAAACTGAGTCTTAATCCTAGGATTAGAGAATGCTTCCCTTCCCCCACACCTGACCTCCACATTACTAAAGGCATGTTTACACCCATTCCTTTTACCCAGTACATCGTGTCTGGCCCTCAGGAAAAAATTACAAGGTATATTAAAAAGCAAAAGCACAATATGAATACAGAACAAGCATCAGAACCATAGTAAGGATGTTGTAATGATCCTATCACATGACTGATATGCTAAGGACTCTGACAGAGTAGACCACATGCAAGAACAGACAGATGGGCAATTAAAGCAGAGAGAGAGGGGGGCACCTGGGTGGCTCAGTTGTTAAGCGTCTGCCTGCGGCTCAGGTCATGGTCCCAGGGTCCTGGGATTGAGCCCAACGGGCTCCCTGCTCGGCGGGAAGCCTGCTTCTCCCTCTCCCACTCCCCCTACTTGTGTTCCTTCTCTCGCTGTGTCTCTCTCGGTCCAATAAATAAATAAAATCTTTAAAAAAATAAAAGAAAAATTAAAAAATCTGAGAGAGAGGGAAGTCCCAAAAAAGAACCAAAAACAAATGCTTGAAATCAAAAACAGTAAAATAAAGAATGTCTTTGATGGGCTTATAAGTAGACTGGACACAGCTGTAGAAAGTACTGAGTTAGAAATTGTATCCATTGCCCCACATCGGGCTCCTTGCTCAGAGGGGAGTCTGCTCTGCCTGCCGCTCTCCCTGCTTGTGAGCTGACAAAATAAATAAAATCTTTAAAAAAAAAAAAAAAGAAATTGTGTCCATAGAGACCTCTAAAACTGGGAAAAGCAAACTGAAAACCGGGGGGGGGGGGGGGGGGAACCTCCCACCCAGAACAGAATATCCAAGGGCTGTGGGACCTGGGAAAAGGTAACATACACATAATCAGAAGAGATACCAAGAAAACACTACCAAAGCTGGAATGAAGGACAGAAATAATCTATATTAGGAGTGACTTCAGTGGTTGACTTGTGATACTAAAGCTTACTCTTATTTCAGTACCTTACCTTGCAGGCATGCACTGTGAATTCCATTTTCAATGGCCTCTTGGGAGACCTTCGGAAGGTCTTCACTAACACCTGCAGCATACTTGATAACTGGCGTAACAGAGGATGGTTCAATTGGTTTTACTTCCAGTTCTACAGTCACAAGATGCCGTTTGTCTCCTAAAGTTCTATCTAAGGTATCTATAAACAAATTGATTATAGTACTTCAGAGATTTGTTCCAGAAAGATACCAAGATGCCGCAACTTGCAAAATTACAGTCAACGATTTCAAAGTCTCATAGAAGATAAAGTGGGAGAAAATATTACAATGGCACTAAATACAATATAAACACAACAGAGTAAAAAGTTCTACCAAGGAAGCATTTGCTTCTGTGTCTACCAATTTTAGAAACCAGGTGTGAATCACTGATTAATATTGCTTTAGTGCTGAGATGTGTTGAGGCAGATGATCCCACAAGTTTTGATATGCAGATGACACATTTAAACTTTTTGAAATATCTTATGTGAATACTGAAATTCTTTTAATTGCACAACTTTTATTTAACTGTAAAACATTTAGAGTACAAAAGGTAATCTAATGAAAATTAAGACTCTTTTAATTCTGTCAACCCACAAACTGCTAAATTCCATATTCTACTAGTAATGTTTTACGCATTTATGATTTTTCTCAAACTAGTGACTTTTTTTAAAGATTGAAAACAGTATCTCTCGGGGTGCCTGGGTGGCTCAGTCAGTAAGTGTCTGCCATGGGCTCAGGTCATGATCCCAGGGTCCTGGGATCGAGTACTGCGATCGGGCTCCCTGCTCAGTGGGAAGCCTGCTTCTCCCTCTCCCACTCCCCCTGCTTGTGTTCCCTCTCTCGCTGTGTCTATCAAATAAATACTAAAAAAAAAAAAAAAAAGGAAACCGTATCTCTCATTTGCTAACCTCCATCTGTCACCAATCTCCAATATTTTACTAAAACAAAACTATGCTGTATTTATGCGAGGGACCATGTAACAGTAACATACAGCACAAATTAAAACTAAGAATTACAGCCTACAGTTGTTCTTTTTGATCCCTTTTTAAGCTAATTTTTATATTATGAAATATTTTTTATTTAAGGGAGCATTTATGAAACCTAAAACTACTCAGAAATAGACCAGGGGCGCCTGGGTGGCTCAGTCATTAAGCATCTGCCATCGGCTCAGGTCATGATCCCAGGGTCCTGGTATCGAGCCCCGCATAGGGCTCCCTGCTCAGCGGGAAGTCTGCTTTTCCCTCTCCCACTCCCCCTGCTTGTGTTCCCTCTCTTGCTGTGTCACTCTCTGTCAAATAAATAAATAAAATCTTAAAAAAAAAAAAAGAAATAGACCATTACCAGTAGCCTACAAGCCTTCTTTTTTTTTTTTTTTTTAAAGATTTTATTTATTTATTTGAGAGAGAGAGAGAGAATGAGAGATAGAAAGCACAAGAGGGAAGAGGGTCAGAGGGAGAAGCAGACTCCCTGCCGAGCAGGAAGCCCGATGTGGGACTCGATCCCGGGACTCCAGGATCATGACCCGAGCCGAAGGCAGTCGCTTAACCAACTGAGCCACCCAGGCGCCCAACCTACAAGCCTTCTGAAGCAACCCCATCATGATATATTTAATCATTCCTATGATTTTCCTTAGTCATATTACATATGCATGTATCCCTACACAATACAGTTCACTCTGCTGTGTTTTGAATTTGTTACTCTACTATGTACCTTGCAACTTGCTTCTTTTGCTTATTTTTTCTAAGATTTTATTTATTTCTTTGAGAGAGAGGGAATGAGAGGGTGGGAAGGGCCGAGGGAGAAGGAGAAGCAATGTGGGGCTTGATCCCAGGACCCTGGCATCACGACCTTAGCCAAAGGCAGATGCTCAACTGACTGAGCCACCCAGGTGCCCCCTGCTTCACATTTGTGGGTCCTCTGGGGTGATGCATATCGATGTAGCTCATTCTTTTTCATAGCTGTGTAATATTCTATGGTATGAATACAGTACAACTTACACTTTTCCTGTCCATAAATATTTGGCCTGTTTTTTTCTACTTACAGGTTTTTTATTACAATGCTATTATGAAAATTCTTTTATCTGTCTCTCAGTGCACATGTAAGAGTTTCCCTAGGGTATATACCCAGGAGAAGAACAGCTGAGTAATAAAGTCTACACACAGTCAACTTCGCAAGGAAGTTACCAAATTGTTTTCATAGTGGTTATATAACTTACACTCCCACCAGAAGTTTTTAGGAGTTTCCATTGCTCAACATCTCACCAACACTTGGCACGTCTGATTTAATTCCTGCCAATTCTATTGGTATAAAATAGTATCTCATACTTTTAACTTGCCATCATTCTAATCATTACTGATATTAGAAATCTCTTTATATGTTTGTCTGTTTCTAGCTTAATTAGTATCATAACCACTGTGGCTTTATAATATGTATTCATGTCTGATACACTTCTTTGGGTTAACTTGGTAGCTTCACAATATTTAGTCTCCTTATCTATGAATACTATGGCTGTCCATTTAACTTGGTCTTTTTAATGTCTGTAACTTTTTAAAATTTTTTGGATGTACACAGTGTCAACCTGCCCCTCATTAGTGATGCATCATCATATTGCTACAGCGTCTACTTACTAGTTTTTACCTTGAAACTAATAAGCAATCTGTGCGGAGACCCTTTAAAGACTATGCAAATATGCTGCTCCTCAAGATACCCAATATTTAACAATCACAATAGTTGCAAAATGACTATTTTTCTACTCCAACCCTCCTCCTCAGCATCTAACAGTCAGCAGTTGGCATTCAACTCTAAGGAAGAACTCCCTCTTCTTCCTCATCTGTTTATCTATTATCAGTAGGGACTCATGAATCCCTACTTTGTCTCAATGGCCTATAATTACTAGACTTAAATGCTATTCTAATTCATTCAGATATGGCCAGTAGAGCCTCTTCAAGTTGGTTCCTGTGGCCTTATGACATTCCCCCATCAATATTGAGCATTTCTTTTCAACTAAAATACCATAATGTTCTATTGCCTGCTTATTCTTGATGGTCTCTTGTTCCTTACCAAGACTTTCTCTCTCCTTTTATTTCTTCAAAAATAAATATACTTCTTTTATATCCTGCATCCAATAATTCCAATATCAGAAGCCTTTGCTGTTCTGACTGATGCTGTTTCTACTACCTTTTTGCTCATTGTGCCTTTTCTCATGCTTTTGTAACTTTAAAGTATTTTTTGAATTGTGATTTAATTCTCCTTTATCTATGGGATTTTTCTTTGAGAAATGGATTAAAGACACATTTATCTAGAGGCCCCATGTTTGCTTTTTCCAGAATCCTTGGCTGCTCAGCAGGAAGCCTGCTTCTCCCTCTCCCACTGCTTGTGTAAATAAATAAATAAAATCTTAAAAAAAGAAAAAAGAAAAATAAATCTTATCACTTGCTCCTACATTCTGCTTGTTTAATTTTTCAAGTTTTACTGAAAAGTAACCACCTGGCCTTTTTTATAAATCACTGAGTTACATCCAGTTATCCTTAACATCTTTATTATTTTTTCAAAAATCTCTCCATGTTTACTCCTTGGGGAAAAGCAGTGATTGTCATGTTCCTGTGCTTAAGAAAACCAAACTGAAACTATCATATATAGAAAAAACATGAATTCTTAAATTTTGGGACAGAAATATAAAAACTGTACTTTCTCAAGATCATTAGCATAACATTACCATATTTATTAAATAGGTGAAATTATTTTCCACTCACTTTGTAAAAATAATACATGAACTTCAAATTCTTATACTCATTCTGGTAGTGAGGATTAGTATGAGCCACCTACACCAAGGGCTTATTCTACCCCATGACCACCACTGAAAAGCATATTTGTTTGGTAAGGGCTCATCGTTTGATGTAATGAATGGTAAAGGAAGACAGCTGGGTTAAAACAAAACAAAACAAAATCCTAAAAAAAAAATAAGAAAACACACACATAAAACCTATGCCCAGGGCGCCTCGGTGGCTCAGTCAGTTAAGCGTCTGCCTTTGGCTCAGGTCACGATCCCAGAGTTCTGGGATCAAGCCCGAGGTTTGCCCATTTCCCCCTAGTTGGGCTCCCTGCTCAGAGGGGAGCCTGCTTCTCTCTCTCTGCCGCTTCTTCCCTGCTTGCGCTTGCCCTCCCTCTCTGTCAAATAAATAAATGAAATCTTAAAAACAAAAACCAAAAAACCCTATGCCCACTGATGGAAGATACTAGTGACTGTGAACCCTGCTTTCAGAAAACGGGTCCTGGAGAGAAAGAAAAATAGCAAATTCTAAATGTTATTTTTTACCTGTGGCATGAACTGCATTTAGGATGGTCTCTCGGTATGCCACCTGGAGAGGTCCTAGGTAGGTTTCCAGTCCATATTCCCTCTTGATTCGGTCATGAATAATCTCGATATGTAGCTCCCCCATACCACAGAGGACGGTCTGGTTAAAAGAGGAAGAAAAAAAAAAACCAAAGAAAAAATTATGTTTATCAAAAATACTATATAAAGGTATGATATCAATGTTATTTTTCATTACAAACTGAGTTTCTTTGCAATTTTTTTTTGGCACCTCTTCAAAACAGTTTTTAACTTTTCTGAGTGGGTAAGTCAATGAAAAGTGAATTGCTGGGGCACCTGGGTGGCTTAGATGGTTGCGTCTGCCTTCGGCTCAGGTCATGATCTCAGGGTCCTGAGATCGAGCCCCACATCAGGCTGCCAGCTCAGCAGGGTGTCTGCTTCTCCCTCTCCCTCTGCCTCTCCCCCTACTTGTGTGCTGTTTCTCTCTCTCTCTCTCAAATGAATAAAAAATCTTAAAAAAAAATAAAATAAAAAATAACAGTGACTTGCTGTGACACCTGGCTGGCTTAGTAGAGCATGTAACTCTTGATCTCAGGGTTGTGAGTTCAAGCCCTATGTAGGGCATAAAGCTCAGTTTAAAAAAAAAATTTTTTTTTTTTAATTTAAAAAGTGAATTTCTAGGCTATTCTGTCCTTCTTACAAGATAGTTTAAAACACGCAGGTAGCACCTAGCCACAACTGCTGTACTTTAATATAAAGTTAAAGAAGCGGATTACTTGGGAAAAACAAGTTGTAGAACACTACGAATTGAATGACTTGTTATAATCTATATCTATATATACCTATATATGGAAAAATATACTGTGCTTTATTTATAACATAGCACAGCAGAAGACGTTTGGTAGTGTGAAACGTTATTCACATTTTCAGTGGTTACCTGTGTAAAATAGAATGGAGAAAAAGGGAAACTTTAATTTTGTACTTTGTAGGGCACCTGGGTGGCTCAGTCGGTTGAGCGTCTGCCTTCAGCTCAGGTCATGATCCCGGGGTCCAGGGTTTGAGCCCCACATCAGGCTCCCTGCTCAGCAGGGAGTCCACTTCTCCCTCTCCCCGCCCCTGCTCATGCTCTTTCGCTCTCTCTCAGATAAATAAAAAAAATTCTTTTAAAGATTTTATTTATTTATTTGACAGACAGAGACATAGCGAGAGAGGGAACACAAGCAGGGGGAGTGGGAGTGGAAGAAGCAGGTTTCCCGCCGAGTCAGGAGCCTGATGCGGGGCTCGATCCCAGGACCCTGGGACCATGACCTGAGCCAAAGGCAGACGCTTAACCAACTGAGCCACCCAGGCACCCCTAAAGAAATAAAATCTAGGGCGCCTGGGTGGCTCAGTTGGTTAAGCGACTGCCTTCGGCTCAGGTCATGATCCTGGAGTCCCAGGATCGAGTCCCACATCGGGCTCCCTGCTCAGCAGGGAGTCTGCTTCTCCCTCTGACCCTCTTCCCTCTCGTGCTTTCTATCTCTCATTCTCTCTCTCTCAAATAAATAAATAAAATCTTTAAAAAAAAAAAAAAAAAGAAATAAAATCTAAAAAAAAAAAAAATTTGTACTTTGTACTCTTGTGTATTATTTATTTAAAAAAAGTATTGACATTTTTTAAATGAAGTTTTTAAAATAAAAAGTTTAACTGCTTGTTGTATCCTTCAGCATTAATTAAATTACCATCCTTATTTAGCTGGCATTTGGGAAATAAAATACTCCCTGTTTTAAAGATTAACTAAATCAGTTTATCCTTAAAGGCTAATTTATAATCTTTTAAAAGAACTTTTTCTAAAATCTTAAACTTTACCTGCCTTCCTAAAAAGATGCAGAACGGAACATGTGTTCTTCTACTGTAATGTAATATATACAAACTTCTTACCACCTATTTTAGCTCTACTCCCTCCCACTGTGTTAGGATGTAAGCAGTCACTTCTCCCCCACCCTAGGTGAGTTAGTGACATTAAGAGCACCTTTGCATCCTCCCTTTAGTATGCTGAATCTATAAACCTTAGCATTAAAGGGTCAAGACTTTGTCTTAGGGTTAAACCTTATTTCAAAATTTCACTAAGGCTGTCTTCTGGAAAGCTTAAATGATAAAGAATGGTTTAGGTAAGTGAGATATAATTAATTATATTAAGAAACTAACAGCTTGACAGTCAACAATAATCAGAAATTTCTACTATGAGAGAACCAAAAGAGAAAGTTTTTTCTTTCAGGGGCATGAACCAATCATGTTTTAGATATATGCATTTACACACACACACACTATTACTGAAAGATTTCTGGGGTTAAGTAATAAAATGCGTACCTGTCCAGAATCAGGATCCAGCTTCACTTTCAAACTGGGATCTTCACGCTGAAGGCATTTCAGTGCATAATCCAAATCTAAGGGATAAACAGTAACTGCTAACCTTCACATTTCATTTTTTAGATAATGTAACGTGTTCAAGTGGGGAAAAAAAATGAACAAATTTTGAAAAAGAACATTTCAAATGGCTATAAATGCTTTTTAGAGAATAAAAAAAGATGGTTACAATAGTAATAGGAGGTTATCTGAGACTGAATGATCTGGGAAGGCCTCTCCAAGATAATTTAGATGAAGACACAGAAAAGAATGGCCATGTATGCAAAATCCTGAAGAAAAGAATACCAGACACAGGATATGGCTGTGCAAGGAATGGTTTTGCTAATGGAAAAATAACAAGATGGCCAGGGTAGCTGGATATTAGTGGGTAAAACGAAGAGTAGCATCAGATGAGGAAGGGAAGGTGTGGCAGGAATCACATCATGTAAGGTTTTGTAAGCCCGGGTGAAGAGTTTGAATCTCCAATGGGAAGCCACTGAAGGGTGTTCAGTGGGCCAGTAACCATCTGATTATGTTTTGCAAAGATCAATCTAGGAGCTGACAAAAAAGCAAAATGCCTTCAGAAACAGAAGCAATAATGAGAAACTGGCAAAAGGAAACTAAATTACATCGTGAATAAAGAGATGCTAATATGATCACTCTATGATGAATTAGCGCACCCAAAGAGGAAGAATATGTTATTTATGTCAAATATGGCATCTTAAGTGATACTTTAATATAGTCAATTAACTCTTAAGTGTATTCTCCCTCTCTACAAAAGATGTTAGAAGTTTCACAAAGTGTGGCTCAAGAAAAGAGCTGAGCAATGGATTAATGAGTCACCCTTATCAGCCACACATTTAAGGTGGTCTTAGGGATATAAACTTCTAGACATGCACTGTACAAGTAGCAGTCACTAGCCATCTCATTAGGATATTACTAGTCTAAACTGACATGTGCTCTAAGTATAAAATACATACTAGGTTTTTTGTTTTTTTTTTAAAGATTTCATTTATTTATTTGACAGAGAGAGAGGGAACACAAGCAGGGGGAATGGGAGAGGGAGAAGCAGGCTTCCCATACTAGGTTTCAAAGACTTAATATGAAAAAAAGAAAGTAAAATGCCTCATTAATTTTTATACTGATTATATGTTGAAATGGTACTATTTTTGATATACTGGGTTAAGTAAAATGTATCATCAAAATTAATACTGCCAGTTTACTTTTTCTTAATGTGGCTCTAATTTTAGATTAAAGTGGATGTTGTATTTCTATTGCATAGTGCTCTTCTAGAATCCTGACATCCCAAAGTCGGGGTCAAGGACCAGCAACACTGGCAACGCCTGGAGCCTATTAGAAATACAAAATCTCACGTTCCAGACTGAATCAGAGCCTGCACTTAACAAGAATTCCAAGAGATGTATTATACACATTGAGGTTAAGGGGCATTATTTTAGATAATATCTTATTTTCAGATTTTCAAAGAAAGAAATAATGCTTATGACACTGGGGCTTTTGGAATGAAAACATAGTAACTTTACTGTAAATAAATTCATTCAAAGTATTTATAAAGAATATTTATAAATCTATTCTTCAGGAGTTTATTGGGATTAAAATGGTGTCAAGTGCTAAAAAAGGACTATGGGGTAAACACAATGGAGGGCCAGAAAAAAGAATATGTAGATCTACATGAAAGAAGTCCAAGAGAGACTCTAGGAAGTCCCCTCCCCTGTGGGGCTTAGGACCTCAAAGCTAATGCCCATTAATTAGACTTACTTCAGACACCCAACTTTCTTCCTCAAGCAGTTAAAAGCGGAGGCATTAGATTTAAAATTGGTTAGTGCTACTTAGCTGCAGGCCCACAATTTGAATTCATGTAATCACACTATGTTTGAAATGACTTTCAAATATATTTTTAAAAACTCAAGATTATTTTGTTTGGGCAGCTCCTGCTCTAAAGTGCCTGACTACACCTGATACAACTAGCATGGGTCAACTGTGATGTAACTGGTCAGCCGGATCCTCCTCCTCTGGAGTTGACTACACTTAGTTGGCCTCAGGGCATTTTAAGGTGACAAGATAACTGCTGCAGCACTCATTTTAACTTAATTGCTATTCCTTTACCAACTGGATAAGCATAGACCTAGTTTCCTTCAGTATTTGGGGGCTATCTTAGACCAGTACTCAGACCTTTCTTTTGTGTGAACTCCAGCTAGACTGGTGCGGAACTGGAACCCCTAACTTGGCTAGGGATCTTCTTCTTTCTTTCCCCCTTGGTACTGGAGATGACATGGGGAGGCAGTAAATGGTTGCTTTCATTTTTCAATCATCTGTCCAGCTTGTTTTCAAGGGGAAAAAAATGGCTTCTAATGCCACCTGGAGAACTAGGTTTGTCCTTCAACAATTTAATATAGGAATTCAGTGAGAGCCTCAAAAAGAAATGATGCTTCAGATGAGATTTTCTAAAGAAAGAGTAAACATTTTCCAGGTGGACACAGTCAGGGCATGCCATCATTAACACAAGACAGACCAAATTAAAAGAAACAGCAATGCAAAAAGAGCATGGTATCTTCAGGAAACTGGAACTAAGTATAAGGTGTGAGTATCCCGTTTTGTTTTTGTTTGGTGAAAGAAGAGGGTTCAGAATGAAGGAGGAAGTTTCAAGAAATGAGGCCAGGCAAGAACTCTGGTATCAGAGACTGCTAGTGGTCTTCCACTCTATTCTGCTGCTGTCTAGCTAAAAGACTGCATTTATCAGACTCCCTTGCACCTGAGTGGCCATATGTCTAAGTGATAGCCAATGACACAGAAGAAATCTTAAAAGGGAAAGGAACACATCTTCCTCCTCCTTACTCCATTCCTCTGTCAGGAACTCTACTGTGATGCCAAAGGCCCTAGCAGCCATCATGCTATAACTAAGGATAGGAACTATGCACTCAGAGAGTCAGGGCAGAAAAATTGGAGGCTGGGTGCCTGATGACATTGTAGACCCACCCTCTATCCCCTGGGCTACCAACTCAAGGCATACTTTACAAGGGAGTGAAATACACTTTTCGTCATTAAAGCAACTATTATTTCAGGGGGTTTCTGTAATATATATCAAAAACTAACTGGAAATAATACAGCTGAAATCATGATATTTATATAGCATATTAAGGAATTTGGATTTGTGCTGTAGTATGAGAAGCCACTGAAGATTTCTGAGTAAACAGGCTAAAGAACGAAGTACACAACACAAAAAGGTCAAACAACATTAACTATAGTATATAAATATCTTCACTGAGTTCTAAAGGTTGAGCAAGAAAACAAGGAAAAGGAGCATTTTATAAATGGTGATGACAAGATGATCAGTTATGAATCACTATCTAATCTATTACTGTAACTGGAAGGGCAGTCCTGATGCCAGTTACTTAAACTGCCACAGACAGCACCACAAGAACAGGAGTAAGGAAGAATATGATATGCAAAAAATGGCCAAGATCTAAGAAAAGAATAAATAAAAGGAGTTTGTAAAAATCAAAACATCTTAAATAAAAAAAGAGACAATCACAAGTAATACTTATCCACAAATTCTGATAAAATTGAACTCACATCATGAAAAAATCTTTTGAGAGTGTAACATAACTATTTCTATCTAAATTATCAGAGCACTAATTACTTAATACACTAGAACTATTTGTACCTGGCTGCCTAGCCACTGAAGGGGGCTCTATGGTACAGAAGAAAACAGGTTCTGGAATCTCCACCCCAGCCAACAAAAGTCTCTCTGCTTCATTGTTTTGTCTAGACTTTTCTCCTTCCCTTTCGGCTCGACGAGCTGCAGCTAATGCACTGGACTTGGATGACACAATGGTGTCTCCAGTGGCAGTCTGTAAGCAAACAAGATACGTTAGAAAACAGGCTCTTGGCGGGCACTCAGCTCACCACCAAGATTCACCAAATAGGAAAAATTTTCATGTGACACTTCCAACAGAACTTAAAACAGAGACAAATTCATAAAGCTCATTATAACTTTGCAGAGGTAAAGCCAATTTAACTTCTGTAAGAATTCTATCCAAAACACTGCTATAAAATCCTAACAATAAAACACACATACACTACACATCCAAAATTCATCTGGTGAAACAAATGTACGTTCCTAAATTTTCAGTCATGTCAAAATAGGTTAGTTCTACTAGAAGTCCATTATAGAGTTTTACCACCAGTAAAAATTATTACTGTTATACAAAAAAATCCTCTATTAACTAAAATAAGCAATTAATCAGAATTCTCTAGACCATGCAAAATTGATAGGTTCCTCATAGACTTGTTATTTTTAAAACTATAACTTCACTTTTAAACTTTAATATTACAAAGTTCTGTACCAGCTTCCTTCTCTGTAAAGGTATTGCTACTGAAGCAATATTTCAAATGTATTTGTGTAACTCCTTCAAATATGTACATGGAGCTCCTGCCTTTGGGTGGACAGAAGACATTTTCAACGCTAGAATCCAATATTTGGACTGTGGAAATTTTATTATTATTTAAAAATATTTCTTTGAGAGCGAGAGAGAGCATGAACAGGGGGCAGGGGCAGGAGAAGCAGACTCCTCGCTGAGTAGGGAGCCCAATGTGGGGCTCAATCCTAGGATGAGGAATGTGCCGAAGGTAGACGCTTAACGACTGAGCCACCCAGATGCCCTGAACTGTGGAAATTTTATACTAAAGGGATCCTAAATCCTGCAATTAACCATAAAGAAGTTAAAAAATGTTCAAAGTAGGGCGCCTGGGTGGCTCAGTTGGTTAAGCGACTGCCTTCCGCTCAGGTCATGATCCTGGAGTCCCGGGATCGAGTCCCACATCGGGCTCCCTGCTCGGCAGGGAGTCTGCTTCTCCCTCTGACCCTCCTCCCTCTCGTGCTCTCTCTCATTCTCTCTCTCTCTCAAATAAATAAATAAAATCTTAAAAAAAAAAAAAAGTTCAAAGTAACAATGGTTATCCTAAATGCCAAATATACCAAAGTTTAATGAAAAAATGTATTCAATTTAATCCATATATAAATGAAATGTCCTTATAGTTTTAACCTAGCAAAAACACATACAGCATCAACTATTTTCATCCATTCAACTGACAAAAGTTATGTGTGATGCACTGATCTAGGGACTAAAGAGAACAAAAGAAACTAAAATCTTTGCCCTCATGGAGCCTTCACTGGCAAAATATCTTCAGTTACTATCTGGATTGGTTATAAGGTTAAACTGTCAGCAGTGATCAAGACAAGAAAAAAACCTCAATAACAAAATATTAAACTTAAAACACAGGTATGTAACCATGAATAGTATTCTTTTACTTGAATTTGAACTTTACACAAATATAATCCATACTGTTGACAGTCTTCTGTAATTTTCTTTCTTTCTACTATGAGATTCAACCATGTTGATGAATACGCTACAATATTCATTACCCCACTACTGATGGCTATTTGGATTGTTTGTGGATTTTTGCTACCGCAAAATAACTGCTTTTAATTAAATATTTAAGCTATTATTTCCTAGAGAAACCATCTGGTCACTTACATGTTTAAGGCCAACAGTCAAAGCAATGTTACCAGCAGTCAGTGAAGGGATTTCTATATGTTGGTCAGCAAATGGCAAAAGAAGACGACTTATTCTCTCCCTGTAAAAACCATGATTCATATTAGTAAAAGAATTTTTAAAGAAATGAGTGCAGTTTTAGAAAATGACCTAAACTTCTACTTACGTGCAGTTTCCATTAAAATTATAGATGGCTGACTGGGGTTTTATCATGCCTGAGTAAATGCGCATAAACACCAGTGGTCCCCGCTGCTTGTCATGAAGAACTTTAAATGCCAGGGCACATAAGTCACCTTTATACCACTGCCTACAAATTGAGATATTCCAGAAAAACCTTTAAAGTACACTTCCCATGTATCTATGCAGATCAGAATCACTGTACAAACTTAACCTTAATGTCCTCCCTCATATCTTCTAGTTTAGCTACTCAGACTGATTAAATAATGTCAGTACTAATTACCTCCATTCCTCCACCTGACTGAATTATTTAATGGAGATCTCATCAATTCCTCAAAACTAAAAATAATAGATTCTCTCCCAAATATTACCTCTATTTGCAAGTAATTCCACTGCATAGAGTTCATTCCTCAGAAAATATACCTAGGGACATCATACTACTTCTCACAAAAGCCTGTACAGGGTATATGGGTATATATATATAGGTAGATGCTTTCCAATCACTACTTTCACTCCCACTTTCTTTCCAGTTGCATAACCATAGAAATCTACACTATAAAGTTGAATTTGTTTACACAGCCAACATTCTTACAGACTGATGTCCTTAAATTATTTTTTTAATTTTATTTATTTATTTATTTGACAGAGAGAGAGACAGCAAGAGAGGGAACACAAGCAGGGGGAGTGGGAGAGGGAGAAGCAGGCTTCCCGCCGAGCAGGGAGCCCGATGCGGGGCTCGATCCCAGGACCCTGGGATCATGACCTGAGCCGAAAGCACTTAACGACTGAGCCACCCAGGCGCCCCTGATGTCCTTAAATTAACATGCATTGTTAAGTTTCAGAAAGCCTGAATCCCTTTGAAATTGCCAAATTTTGTGCATAGGTACATATGTTTCCTGAAGAAAAGCTCCAGGTTCTCATTGGTTTCAAAGGAGCCCATGAATCAAAGTAGGTGAGACACTTCTATTACAGAACTTCTCCCCTCTTATCCGTATTCTCTCCAACTTTTTTTTTTTTTTTTTAAAGATTTTATTTATTTGACAGAGAGAGAGACAGCGAGAGAGGGAACACAAGCGGGGGGAGTGGGAGAGGGAGAAGCAGGCTTCCCGCTGAGCAGGAAGCCCGATGCGGGGCTCGATCCCAGGACCCTGGGATCATGACCTGAGCCGAAAGCACTTAACGACTGAGCCACCCAGGCGCCCCCCTTTTCTAACTTTTAATTTTAGTGAAAACTTACAGAGAGTCTACCATACACTAGGCATTATTCCATATGCTTTATCAATATTAACGCATTTGATTCTTTTAACAATCCAGTGAGATAGGTCCTATTCTCTGCATTTTACAGGTGAGAGGTTAAATAACTTGGAAGAGCTGGGATTTAAATCCAGGCAGTACACAGTCCATGCTCATAATTACTTCACCATTAATGCAGCTCCAATTGAGAGATATGAAGTGATTAATACCCTACTTAAAGGATTAAAGTCCATTCCTGCCTGCCATTTTGTACAACACTCACTCAGATTTTAGAGGGTTTTTTACTAAGTACAAAGCTGTTAGTGACAAGAGAACTAAATCAATGACCTTTCTTTACAGCCACAAAGTATTTTGAGCTTATTAAAAATCTTGAGGGGCACACGGATGGCTCAGTCGTTAAACTGAGGTGCCTTCAGCTCAGGTCATGATCCCAGAGTCCTGGGATCAAGCCCCGCATCGGGCTCCCTGCTCGGCGGGAAGCCTGCTTCTCCTTCTCCCACTCCCCCTGCTTGTGTTCCCTCTCTCGCTGTGTCTCTCTCTGTCAAATAAATAAATAAAATCTTAAAAAAAAAAAAAAACCTTGGGGCACCTGGGTGGCTCAGTCGTTAAGTGTCTGCCTTCGGCTCAGGTCCTGATCCTAGAATCGAGCCCCGCATCAGGCTCCCTGCTCGGCAGGAAGCCTGCTTCTCCCTCTCCCACTCCACCTGCTTGTGTTCCCTCTCTTGCTGTGTCTCTGTCAAATAAATAAAATCTTTAAAAAACATAAAAAATAAAAAATAAAAATCTTGAAATCTAGTATAAACATACTTACAGAAGATTTATCAAACATCCCCACTATACTGCTTTTTTAAACTAAGACAACATGGTAAACACTTGTACTTTTACACAGCAAAAAAGCCACATGTTTTACCTCCATCTGTAAACATAGCAGGTTACAAAAGATAATGACAAATGTTCCTTTCAAATAAAATTTCATATAGCTCTGTATTATTTACAATTATATCCTTCACCAATGTTCTTCAAAAAATGGTGATTCAACTACTCTTTGGAAACAAGACCTATCTGCCTGTTTTTTCAAGGCTATAAAATTTTAATCTATTACTTGCATACTCACAGAAATTCATAGTTGCGCTCTTCGGGTGAAGGCAAGTACATGGTAATAGCATCTAACAAGGGCTGGACCCCTTTGTTTTTCAGGGCACTTCCACAAAGCACAGGCACTGCTGTCTGAGCCAGTGTTACTCTGTGTATTGCAGTCTGTAGCTATAAAGCAGAGATGTAAGTATTCCGTGTGCAGTATACTGGCCTCGAACAAAGTATCTCAGAATTAGATGCCCTCGCCAACCAATCATGTAAAACAGAACTACTAAGCACACTGCCATCATTTTTTAAGGCCTTATTATTCTTTTTTTAAATAACATTAATCACTACTTGATTATCTTGGATATACATTTAACAGTTTACTGTCTGTCTCCCCACCCACTAGAATATAAATCTATATGAGCATTATAACAAGTCCCATAAAAATGCTGAATCCCCAGAAACTAGAAAAGTTCTTAAAATAAGGTGTTTAAAAATATTTCTTGAATAAATGAATTTACTTCTGATTTAACCTTAACAATCTAATAGAGGAACTGACCAGATATTAAAAACATAAATATGAATTACAATTTTTTCAAAAGAATTAGACCCACATCAAATCAAATCCAAAGAAAAATGAGAAATCAAAGCAGAAATCAAATTTCAAAGACTTCAAAAGCTAAGAAAAGGTTGGGTGTGCTTGTAAACTACTGATAAGAGACATGGTGGGTCAATTTGAACTCAGATTATAAGCTCTTTGAAAACAGAAATCATGTGACTTTAGGGCACATTAAACATCACATCTAACATTCAAATAGTAAACAATAAAAAATTTCAATAATTAGGGCATTTCATTCAAAAGAAAAATACTTTTTTCCATTTCTAATCCCAAAGGTCTTAAAATTAAACTAGAGACTCATGTTTTTCTTTAATTCTTTCGTGAAAAATAACTAAGTAAACTTGCTGGGCTCATTCTGGACCCCATTATACATATTCCTACCTAAAAACACTTTACACTTCACTTGGGGTGGGGGTGGGGCGCCTGGCTGGCTCAGTTGTTGGAGCATTCAGCTCCTGACCTCAGGTTCCTAAATCCAAGCCCTACATTGGGCATAGCGCTTACTTAAAAACAAATAAACAAAACAACAACTTTACTTGGTGACTCTTGTTTCATAAAGAAAACTAGTTTGCCAAATTCATGGGGGAAGGTCTCTGGTAGAAAATAACAGAAATGCTTTGAAGAAATGTGTCTAATTTAATTACTATCACTATTTAAAACATGTCTATTCTCTGGTTTAATATATTTGAAAAGAAAACAAAAAAAGTTTCCAAGAAAAATTAAATCATATTTAGAAAAAATGATGAGAAAAATAATCGTTGCAGCAGTCTACAAAACCAATAAATTTTCAATATAAAATTTCTATCCATAATTTCCCTAAAGTACTTAGAAAAATGATCACAAGGAAAATGCTGCAAAGAAGGAATAATTGACTTATGCTGACTCAACAGCAGTAAAAGACATTCAATTTCTGATTTATAAAGCACATATGACAATAGTAAATCACTACCCTTATTTAAGTACTTGTACTAATAGTGACTTTACCTTACTATTCTCCTAATTAAGTCAGCCTTTTCTAAATGCTATGCAAAGTCGAAAAAAACAAAACACCTGAGACAGAGAAATCAAACCACAGCCAATGAATAAAACTTCATCAGAGTAAATAATAAAATTTACCTTTTCAGCTGGTAGCAAATCAAAATTTTCACTAAATTCTCCTAAAACCAAGTCAGCAAATTCATCATCCAAATCTGCAACCTATAAAGAAAGGTTTTAGTTCTGTAACTTGTTTTTATTGTCACAACTGTTAAGTCCAAATACCATAAATGTACATTATCCAAATATTTCAAGACAGCTACATGATCTATCTTATCCAGGGCAAGGAACTCTCTACATCTTCTTAAGAGATAGTGTTTCTTTCAAAGGAAAGGAGAGGGGATTGAAAACTGAAGATAGAGGGCGCCTGGGTGGCTCAGTTTGTTAAGCGTCTGCCTTCGGCTCAGGTCGTGATGGCAGGGTCCTGGGATCGAACCTCGCGTCAGGCTCCCTGCTCCACGGGAGGCCTGCTTCTCCCTCTCCCACTCCCCCTGCTCGTGTTCCCTCTTTCACTGTGTGTCTCTCTCTCTCTGTCAAATAAATAAATAAATATTAAAAAAAAAAAACTGAAGATAGGACATGATGAGTTCCCTAGATTCATGGGAAGCAATAGTCAGGTAAAGTATCTCAATAAAGTGCTACCTACTCAGAGTGCTCAAAAGAAATAAGATACACAATTTAGAGCCAGTGATAATATATATAAGGAATTGCTATTTTTATGTAAATATGTAAGTTTTAGTTCATAAAAATTTCACTTGGTATTCCTTTAACATTATGAATGTTCACCAAATCTCCTAAGACACTCCAACTAAAGTAACTCATCTTACTGTAATCCTGCACTGAGGGAACAGATTTAAGTTGGGGGTCAAGGGCATCACGTCAGCAATAAAAATGCAATTATCTAATTCATGTTCTTTTCTTAATCATCTGCCAGTATGAAACAGAATTCAGCTGACAATAAGTTTAATAAAAGTTTCAAAAGTGGGCACGCCCGGGTGGCTCAGTCAGTTAAGCATCTCCTTCAGCTCAGGTCATGATCCCAGGGTCCTGGGATCAAGTTCTGAGTCGGGCTCCCTGCTCAGCAGGGAGTCTGCTTCTCCCTCTGCCCCCCACCCCAAGTCGTGATCGCTCTCTCCCTCAAATAAATAAATAAATATCTAAAAAAAAAGTTTCAAAAGTTTATGATAGTACAAGGGAGCAAAACATTCCAACTTGGGGAGAAAAAACACACTCCTAACCACTAACTATTATAGAAACATACCTAACCATTCTCCTGAAAAGAAGTATATATGATGGTTAAACACAGCTTCTGAAGTCAAACTGCCTGGAAATAGCTCCACTACTAACTTGTTCAAAAACTTAGGTCAAGTTACATCACCTCTTTTTACCTTGGTTACTCATGGAGATAATACTAGTACCTACCTCACAGGGGAAGGATTAAATAACCAATTCAAATCAGGCTTCTAGGACATACATTAAGTATACAGTAAGTGTAATTATCACTATTCATCTTCAGAACACAGGAAGTTGATTCTAGTCCACACTAATCTTATTCTCTAAAAAAATTTAATTGTGGTAAAATATAACAAACATAAAATTTACCATCTTAACCATTTCTAACTAAATAGCTGGGGAGTGTTAAGTATACTGACGTTGTAAAACTAATCTCTGGAACTTTCTCAATCTCACAAAACCAAAAATCTTTACCATGCAACAAACTCTTCCTCACTCTCCACTCTTCTAGCCCTTGGCAACTATGATTCTACTTTGTCTCTACAAATGTGACTACTCTAAATACCTCATATAAGTGGAATCAGTACAGTATTTTTGTGCTTGGCTTATTTCAATTAGCATAAGGTCCTCGAGGTTCATCCACACTGCAGCATGTGTCAGAACCGTCCTTCCTTTTTAAGGCTGAATAATATTCCATTATATGTATATGCCATATTTTATCTACTCATCTTGTAGATGAACACTTGGGTTGCTTCCACCTTTGGCCATTATGAATAATGTTGCTATGAACAAGGACATGCAATTATCTCTTCAAGACCCTGCTTTCAGTTCTTTTGGACATACACCCAGAAGCAGAACTGCTAGATAATTTAGTAATTCTATTTTCAGTTTTCTGAGGAACCACCACACTGTTACCCATAGTGGCTGGATCATTTTCATTCCTACCAATAGTACACAAAGGTTAGAGTTTCTCCACATCTTTGCCAACACTTGTTTTCTGGTTTGGGGGGGATGGTTTGTGGGATTTTTTTGATAGTAGCTTTCCTAATGGGTGTGATGTGGTCTTACTCTCTAACGAAAATAAAGAAAATCTGAGACTGATCTGTACAAAAATAAAGTGCTAATTATAAGGAATATATATTCCTTGGGGGATATTCCTTGTAATTATATATATTCCTTGTAATTAGCACTTTATTATTTTGCACAGTCTCAAATTTTATTTTCATTATATACCATCATGTCCTAAGACATGCATAAGACAACAAAAAAACCTCAAAGGGGAACCAATCATGTACCCAATTATTAATAAATGTCAATTCCACTTTTAATCTGTTTATGGCCTCCCAAATTAGAGAAGTGGTATAGCAAAGTGGGTAAGAGCTCTACCTCCAAATGAAGACAGACCTGGGTTCAGATTCCAGCTCTGCTACTTATTAGCTATATAACAACTTACTTAAGGATTCTAAGCTTCTGTTGCCCCACCAGTAAAACAAGGATAATCTAAGTCACTGTGAGGATTAAATAATATATAAAAAGCACTTAAACTAGATCGTAGGTCCTCAGTAACTGTTACCCAATAATAAAAATAACAATCAACATTCTGTTAATGATAAAGATGATAATTACTATGTACTATAATGGAATATAATTACTTCAAAAACAAACTCATACAAAAGATGAATGAAAAAAGTTGATGAGAGGATCTATTTTTAACAGTTTAATTTAGAAGTAAAGAAGTCAAATGGTTCGGACTCAAATCTCAAATGTTTTTCTCTATAAGATTCAGAGTTTATTTAAGGCATTTTTTACTTATTAGTCTATATACCAACAGTACAATATAAATATTGTAAATATTAACAATCTTACTATTTTCCATTAAAACTTTGAGGGTGGGGGCACCTGTGTGGCTCAGTCGGTTAAGCATCTGCCTTTGGCTCAGGCCATGATCTCAGGGTCCTGGGATCGAGCCCCCGCATTGGGCTCCCTGCTCAGCGGGGAGTCTGCTTCTCCCTCTTCCCTCTGACCCTCCCCCCACTCAGGCTCTGTCTCAATCTCTCTCAAATAAATAAATAAAACCTTAAAAAAAAAAAACACCCAACTTTGAGGTTGGAAGAGGACCAGAGTTCTCTACTATAAAATTAATGGTTTTAAAATTTTCTAAGTTAATGTGACATCTGATAAAGTAAAAGATGGACATACCCTTTGACCCAGCAATTCCATTCCCAGGTGTAACCCTAAACAAATTCTCACACATATACACAAGGAGATATGTACAAAGATGTTCACACCAACGCTGTTTCCAATAGCAAAAAAGAAGACATAACCTCAAAGTGCATCCACAGAACAGACAATAAATTGTGGTATAATAATACTGGCACATTATACAAGATTGAAAATGAAGCAAACCACACATAACAGAAGTGAATCTGCAAAAAATGTTATAAAATAAAAACAATTATCATTCCATTTATGTAAAGTTCAAAAACCTAGAAAACTAAGTCCTTCATGAATCCATACATTTGAAGTGAACTATAAAGCAAAGCAAATGAAAGAAAAACACTAAAGTCAGGATAGCGGTGGTGGGAGGTGTAAATGATTAGTGGAAAAGAGAGATATAAACAGTAAATGGCACACAGAGATGGAAGAGATTTGCTAATACTCTATTTCTTAACCTGGGTGGTACAAACACTGGTGTGCATTCTATTATTTATTACAATTTCCATATGCAATTTTATAAAAATTTCATAATATATAAAATATTTTAAAGTTTCTAAATATTTACACAAATGTAAACTCCAAGTATTTATTTTACCTGTTCAATTAAGGCATTCCTTGCTTCAGTTGTCTCCTTCAGCAATTCAGCATCACTCATTTCCAAGAGGGGTTTCCTCTCAAAGTCTTTTCCATCCTCTGATTTACGATTCCAAACAAGTTTTTCTTTACTTACAACATCCACAACTCCTTTGAAAGCTTTGCCTTCACCAAGTGGTAACTCCAAGTCAGAGTGAGATTATTAACTTTGTTAAATGACCAACTACAATTGAATCAGTGATAAAGCTTATCTTTCCCTACTTTCCCCCAAATGTCTATTATCATTATTACCATAGTCTATATCCATTTTTATTTACATGCCAACTTCCTTCAAAAAAGATTTGAGGGGCGCCTGGGTGGCTCAATCGTTAAGCGTCTGCCTTCGGCTCAGGTCATGATCCCAGGGTCCTGGGATCAAGCCCCAAATCGGGCTCCCTGCTCGGCGGGAGGCCGGCTTCTCCCTCTCCCACTCGCCCTGCTTGCATTCCCTCTCTCACTGTCTCCCTGTCAAATAAATAAAATTAAAAAAAAAAAAAGATTTGAGATAGTTTTAAAAATATATAAGTCACAATAAAATAAACTGATTAGGGAGCGCCTGGGTGGCTCAGTCGTTAAGCGTCTGCCTTCGGCTCAGGTCATGATCCCAGGGTCCTGGGATGGAGCCCCGCATTGGGCTCCCTGCTTGGCGGGAAGCCTGCTTCTCCCTCTCCCACGCCCCCGCTTGTGTTCCTGCTCTCGCTAACTCTGTCAAATAAATAAATAAAATCTTAAAAAAAAAAATAAAAATAAAAGAAATAAACTGATGAGGAAACTGGGAGTTGTTGTTTTTTTTTAAATGAGAGAGCAAGCGAGCAAGTGAACACAGGCATGTGCCAGCAGAGAGGGAGAGGGAGAGGATCTTACGCAGGCTCCCCCACAATCCCACGACCCTGGGATCATGACCTGACTGGAAATCGTGAGTCAGACATCTGACAGAGCCACCCAGGTTCCCCTGGAGTTGTTGCTATTAATCAACCAAATTATCAACCAACCTGTAAAAGCAAAGGCTTTGCCTTCAACTTCTCTCTGATGCTTTCAACTGCATATTTAAAACTGCAGAAAGAAAAAGAGAGTTAAAAATGTTAAGATTCTTAAAACACGTTTAAGAATGTTCCCTAAAATTACAACCCTTTTTACTGTCTCTAATGTTCACCATTTAACAGTTTTCCATAGGACAATATGTTGAATAAACTTTCAACGTCAATTTCAGATAACAGTGCTCGAGTATCTACCATAATCCTGCCACACAGGTATCTACGGTATTATTATTGTTAATTTCACTTATCTATAGTTTGAAATTAAGATTAAATCAACTGATCACGATCACTGATAATAAACTGCAGTTATGAGGGGGGCCTGGGTGGCTCAGTTGGTTAAGCGGCTGCCTTTGGCTCAGGTCATGATCCTGGAGTCCCGGGATCAAGTCCCGCATCGGGCTCCCTCCCTCTGACCCTCTCCACTCTCATGCTCTCTCTCTCTCTCTTAAATAAATAAATAAAATCTTTAAAAAATGAATAAATTGCAGTTATGAGATTCAAATGCATGATTTGTGATAATGAGTCAAGGATTCTTTAACAACGACATTTGCTATCACAACTCCCACCTTTTTCCAAAAGGCAGCCTAATTTTTCTATACCTTTATCTTAGGCATTCTTAGTATCATGTTATCAGCTTTAGAATTACTGTAGAAAATAACATAAACAGAAAGCATACTGTGTGGTTTTAGGAGAGGGATAGTTGACGTTTTGTTTTTGCCACTCTCACACCACAGACCAGGATCTCTCTCTTCTTATCACATTACCCCAAAATCCTTTATATTCTTGATTCTCTGAATTCTGAATTATGTTCTCAGAACTATGTATCCATTTTGGATTACCATTCTGTGAGTCTTTGAGCATTACCATCACATCTTAGTATTAACTTTCTTGCCCTCTATACAGGTCTTAAAACATCTACATTCTCTCCCAGTTCCCTTTTAGTGAGAGCATGTTAGCCAGTAGCTAAAGATAATTGGGGGACAGGAAATCTTCATCTACCCTCTACCTTTAAGCAATGATGGGGATGACCATAGCCTTCAGCAATACAGGGATTATTTCATCCTGTTCTAGAACCAGTGGAATCAGCAAGACATCACTCTGTCAGGTTTCTAGAAAACAGGATACAGCCTCTCTGCATTAGAATCTGATGATTCATCACCTCTCTATTCATCAGCTCTCTATTAATCCCACACTGTTATTCAACCTATGAATTACCTGCTTTGAAACTTTTTAATGGGAATGAATTGAGATTCCATGGAATATTTAAGCTATAGTCCATTCAAACCTCAAATTTTATTTCTACTTTAATATGTGGGGGAAAAAAAACACCTAAAATACCTTGCTCCAGTTTTGTCCATTTTGTTTAAAAAACAGATTCGAGGTATCTTGTGTTTATCAGCTTGCCTCCATACTGTAAGAGTTTGTGCCTAAGGCAAAGAAAAAGGAAAAAAAAAAAAACTCATATTAGACAAAAACAACTATGTCATTATGTAAAGAACAAACAGATCTAAGAAGCTATTATAACATGGAATTAGGCCCTGTTCTAGAACAGAATTAGTGCTGCTGCATTTACACTTCCAGAGTCGCTCTTCTGTTAGTAGGTTAACAGAGCTAAAAATGTAATGAAGGGTGATAAAAAGTGTGCTTCAAACTCAGACTACTACTTTGGGTGATTTAGGTTGTTCACAAAGAGAACAAACAGCTGGAAGGTACTGAGACTCACAGAAAGAGGACTTAATCAAGATTAGAAGACATAATTTTTGTCCAGCTTCACCTTACCTAATACAGGTCACAAAATACTGAACTTGTAAGTTTGCTGACCTGTGAAATGTGGACTTTTGCCTTAATTCATATAGTTGTTGTGATGTTAAAAGAACAAAAAGGGGGGTGCCTGGGTGGCTCAGATGGTTAAGCATCTGCCTTCGGCTCAGGTCATGATCCCAGGGTCTTGGGATCGAGCCCCGCATGGGGCTCCCTGCTGAGCAGGGAGCCTGCTTCTCCCTCTGCCTGCCTTTCCCCCTGCTTGTGCTGTCAAATAAATAAATAAAATCTTTAAAAAAAAACCAAAACATAAAGGAGCATACTACAAAAATGCTATTGTGATAAAAATTTTCATTATGAATGTTGAATGTTGATGTAAACTAAAGAGGGAAAAAAAGCCAGTAACTGTATTTTTTTAAATAATTTTTTATTGTTATGTTAATCACCATACATTACATCATTAGTTTTTGATATAGTGTTCCATGATTCATTGTTTGTGCATAACACCCAGTGCTCCACGCAGAATGTGCCCTCTTTAATACCCATCACCAGGCT